CAATTGACCTAATAAGTTGCAAATTGGTCCTCCAGCCGTTCCTTATATGTACATTTAACTTTTCTGGCCTCTTATTGCTACCTGTACCAACTTTTTTGGAATTTATAGCTCTCATGAAATCCAAAAGGAGCCAATATTTGGCATGGCAATTCAAAATGTCTCACTTTCAACATTTGATATGAAATTTATATTCTATTGTGAATAAAATATAAGTTTATGAGATTTCTAAATTATTCCATTCTTTTTTTACTCAAAATTTGTCCCAACTTTTTTGGAATCGGGTTTGTATCACTGCACTGCAACCATGGTCAGTAACCGAGTGGTTTCAGAGGGGCGTTACCATGGGAACCTTTTCTCGCCGAAAAGTCATCTCGACAGATGCATCCAACACGGGTTGGGTCAGACAATATGGCCGTGGTATCTTACATCAACCGTCAGGGCGGGGTCAGATCCAAGAATCTCTTTCATCTGACGCGCCGCATCCTATTGTGGTCCCAGAGCCACCTGCTCTCGCTCAGAGCGACGCACGTACCAGGCCATCTGAACGACGGTCCAGACATGCTGTCCAGGAACCTTGTCTCCCCCGGAGAATGGTCCCTGCACACTCAAACAGTTCTATCACTGTGGCGCCTATTCGGCAGAGCAGAGATAGATCTTTTCGCGTCAGAAGAGAACACTCACTGCCCGATATTCTTTTCAAAGAGCGAGGACGCGTTAGCCCAGGATTGGCCCCGCCGCCCGCTCAATGCTTTTCCCCCGATTTCTCTGCTACCGCAGGTCATTCAGAGAATCATGGACACACGCCACTCGGTGCTCCTCATAGCCCCGCGCTGGGAGAATCAGATTTGGTTCCGGGAGCTCACGCAGCTGTCTCGGACAGCCCCGTGGCCCATTCCAATCAGAGCAGATCTCCTCACTCAAGCTCGCGGCTCGATCTGGCATCCCCATCCACAGCGCTGGGCGCTTCATGCATGGGTGACCAACGACTACTCGTCGATTTGCCAGAAGGAGTTCTGAACACGATCAAACATGCCAGAGCGGAATCTACTAGAAAGCTCTATGCTGCAAAATGGTCTGTGTTCTCTAGATGGTGCACCGACAAAAACTTGGACCCACGGACGTGCAAGGTTTCGTCTTTGCTCGTGTTCCTTCAGGAGATGCTGGATAAGGGCAGGTCCCCATCCACTCTAAAGGTTTACATGGCAGCCGTCGCGGCGTTCGTTGAACCCCGGCGCGCCCAGTCTTTGGGCAAAGACGAGCTAATTATCCGCTTCCTCAGGGGAGCCAGAAGGATGAACCCCCCTCGCCCCCCCCCCCCACGGTGCCGATCTGGGATCTTTCTATAGTTCTAGAAGCTTTGAAAGCCCCACCGTTTGAACCACTCGAGTCCGTGGAGCTAAAATACCTCTTGCTAAAAAAGTTTTTCTGACTGCCCTCGCCTCAGTAAAACGAGTGGGGGAGATTCACGCGCTGTCTTCTAGCCTTGAGTTTGGACCTAATGACTCCATTGTCATTCTGAAACCTAGACACGGTTATGTTCCAAAATCGTTTGGTACCCCCTTCAGGGCGCAAGTGACCTCTCTAACGGCACTGCCTGCATCCGATAGCGAACGTGACTCTGATAGCCTCTACCCGGTCTGGGCTCTGAGAGTGTACACTACACGCACTGCTGCGTTCAGACGCTCGGAGCAGCTGTTTGTGTCGTTCGGCGGCCGCACCAAGGGTCTAGCCGCCTCTAAACAGACACTCTCTAGGTGGATAGTGGATGCTATTGCTTCTGCTTACGCCTTAAAAGACCTGCCTTGCCCGCTGGGCGTCAAGGCTCATTCCACCAGAGGCATGGCTTCATTGTGGGCATGGTCCTGCGGAATTTCCATTCACGACATTTGTGTGGCTGCGGGATGGGCCTCCCCCTCCACTTTTGTCAGATTCTATAACTTGGAAGTTCCCGCCTTACAGGCTAAATTACTGGCGGTCTAGTACTATACAGCTCTCCTATAAGAAGCTGCACTATTGGGAGTCCTATCACAACCGGTTCGCCCCTTGTGCTTCCCCCTATGTGCTTATGCGTTATACGTTCACGGCCCACTATGCCGGCCGCCTTAAGGGCTTTTTGCATTAGATGATAACGGCCGCTATGCTGGCCGCCTTATTGTCTTCTTCCACCTTAAGATTCCCCCGGTGTTTTTCCCCCTGGGATGCTTAGGGGTTACATAGCGCGCACGGCGTTGACCAGATGTTCCCGTAGCGTAAGCTAGATTACGCAATACGAGAGAACCTCTCGTAAGAGAACGAATCGGTTACCTAACGTAACCTCGGTTCTCTCTAGATGAGGGAACGAGTATTGCGCACCCGGCCGTGCTTGCGCCATCAGCGTTTCGCTTCATGCTGAAAGAAATCAACGACCGAGCCTGGGAGAGCCAGTTTTATACACTGTAGCCACGCCCCTTTCGGCGGGCTCTGACGCAATGAGCGAGCGCCGTCTGGCCGCGGGCTCAGCGCCGCTCTCCCATAGGTTCGTGCATTTTCTCTGAGCGAACCAATGAGCTGCTAGCTAGCCCCGCTCATGGTCTGCCTCAGAGATACTGCGTTGACAATGATTACAAAATTATGGAATAATTTTTTGGCTTCAACTTCTCAGCAAAGATGAATCTTTCCCGTAGCGTAAGCTAGCTTACGCAATACTCGTTCCCTCATCTAGAGAGAACCGAGGTTACGTTAGGTAACCGATTCGTTTCATATCAACAGATGAATAGGATTCGCTCAGTTTATTAAATACATCCAACCTGAAATGTCTCTTACAAACTATGAAGGGACAATAAATCAATCAATACACTGACATGGCAATGCTAGACAGATATAGCCTAACTTGCTTTTGTTTGCACAGCCTTACCATGATTTTGTCACTCTTCTCTCTACTACGTCTGGTGACGGCGGGGAAACTTTTACCTCAATAAAGTTAGGCCTACTTATTGTATTGTAGAAAAGTAAACTTCCAGTAAACTCCAGCTAACCAGTTCATGTTTCTTCTGTAGGTGATTCAAGCAGTAGCGACTAATTAGGCTCAATACAAATATTACAGGTGGAATTATGAAATAGAAACAGGCCTTAATGCAAGATTTTAATCATGTCAATACACATTATTATACACAATTTTGTAATGCAAAGTTTTCAACAGGGAAATACATAATTTGTCAAATTTTCCCTTAACCCCCCACCCCCTTACCAACAACCACTCTTAGAAGAAAAGGTTCTATATAGAAACTTAAAAGGTTCTAAAGCGCTACGTATTCGGAACCCCTAAAATGCAATGTATGTGAATGATCACAAAATTCAAGATATGGGGGTTAAAAAATGTAATTAATCAATATCACACGAAGAGTGACATTTCAGTTTTTATCCTCCAAAATCAGCATGATTAAAATGTGACATTAAGTTACTACAACAGTTAAATAAACAATAACTTAATTACAACTACAAAATGTTGCAGAATAATGTAATATATGAATAATAGCCTATAAAGAACCTTTGTGCCAAAAGGGTTCTTTCTTGTCATTATAGAACATTTTTTTAGCATAAACGTTCCTTTGGAGTTGAGTAAAGAACCCTATGCTTCGTATATAGTAGTGTTGGGCGATATGCTCCATTTTCATATCGTCCTATCGTCAGCCTGTGAGATCGGCGATACACGATAGTATCGTGAGGGGGCGGGGCTAACATTTGATTATTAACTTGATTATTTAGTATGATACATCATTTTGTATGATGGTCATCTTGTGTTTGGTGTATGTTTTATGTAATTAGTGTCTTCTAAGCCCATTTGGGCTGGGCATGTAAGTGCAAGACACTTAAATAAAAATAACTAACTAAAATAACTAACTATTTAGCCTACTCATTAATTTGCTTGTTTTATTAGCCTACTTCGTTTTATATACGAGAATCTTTTTTCTATTTTGCTAGCAAAGGTGGAGTGTTTATTAATAGGATCAGGTTATTTCCTGGTATAGTGAGGTAAAAAAAAAGAGATCCTAATCCTTTTGTTTGTCAACGGGAAATTTACGGACACATTAGCATATCCTCATGCCGTTACATGCAGCATTTTGACTAGGGCCTATTTCTGCACGAGATGAAAACACGTTTTAATAATTTCTTGGGTCAGAAAAAGTCGGAGTTTGCGATATGTGCCCCCCAACAGTGCGCTCTCTGCGCACTTCACATGCACACTTCAGTAAGCACGAAGTACGCGGGTTATGTGTTTTAAATGCTGGGAGAAACAAGAGCAAGGGCCAAACGTCTAGCTGAGTCGATCGGTTTATACTTATGACTTGACTCTGATAAAGGAAACGTTTACATGACCACATGCATTGTCAAGTTTATTCAACATAATCAGGTTAAGAAAGTCGTCGCATGTAAACGCGCTCAATCTCTAAGTGAAAGTAAAAACGGACTGCTTTCGGCATCTGCATTAACGCCGCGTTCCCTCAGAGACGACGATGATAACGGTAACTATAATACTATTTTAGTGATATTATTATTAATACTATTTAGTAATTGTATTGTTTTTAGTGTTAGTGTCATTAAACGTTTTGTTAATGTGTTACGGAAACAAATACTGACGAACAACGATGCCGTTTTCATCTTGGATCTGTAGGAAATTGAATTTTGCGTCTGTTAAAACGAGCACACTTGATAATTTGTGAATGGATCACCTTGCAATTAAATTTTGATGTGGGATGTTTTTTAGTCTGTTTTAAAAACATTCTCTTAGAGGAGTCCTCATTAGTGCGTGTGTTGTTGCAATTGTTATGAGGTGATGTCGTTGTAAATTTAGGCAAGGCAAATTGATTGTAGTTCCTAATATTCATTTAATAACAATACTAGCTTTATAATAATAATAATAGGCCAAATAATAATAATTTAATACATTATGGTAAAACGAGCTAATTATCGTATTGATATCGTCAAAGGCATCTGCCATCGGCGATATGTCAGACTATCGTCGATACACGATACTATCGTCTATCGGCACAACCCTAGTATATAGAACCCCAATGAACCATTTTTTCTAAGAGTGTGGATCACCATTAGTCAGCACAGAGTACAAATACATGGGTGAAGTAATCATGCAAAATAAACACACACAAAAAGAAAGAAACAAAAAAGAAAAAGAAACACCTATTTACAAAGCAACTCTTGTGTGTATTGCCAGAGATGGGTGAAGCCCTAGTCCAAAAGAGTTGTCAGATCCTCCTTCGAATTTACAGTTACGGAAATGTATCCCCCATCTCTCTTGACAACTTCGGAATGTGGAGGCATCCAAGGCAGATCTATAAATGATTTATATTTAGTTAACATAGACCAGGGGTGCAAACCAAACGAGGCTTCTGTAAGACTACGGGTGAAGAGAAAAAAAAAATTAAAAAAAGTTTTATAAAAGTCATACAATAACTATTTTTACCAAAAGAGGACAGGTTTGCACCACGTGATTTGAAGTTGTTCAAGATTACTCTATCTAGCTAATCTATATAACTCTATCTAACAGTCGAAAACTTAACTAAACAGGAAAACAATCTAGCATGTTTAAAACCTTACCCTCCATCGTGCAAAAAGATGTACACAGGCCGGTAACGTACTTCCCACTCTACAGACGAGTCCATAGACGGTTGGAAAAACTATAGAATCTTTGACGGGTCCCCGCTGGTGCGCGCTCAGCCGCGCTGACCCTGGTCGACGAGAACCCGCATGAGAGATGTGACGCAGGACGTAACCCCGCCCTCCGGGCGAGATGCCCCAAAATTTATTAAATCATGTTAATTTCAAATACTTATCACTGACACTAGGGGGATACACCACTCTACAGTAATTTGAAAGTGATTGCAGTACCACTTTTGGCCACAATCTTGCATACGGCTCCTTTAATATGTAAAACCACCCTGAATGGTATTCATTGTGTAGGCTACTGTATATTAGTGACAGTGTATATTACCTGGTCTTTATCTGAAAAAAAATTTATTCTCAGTGTGTACAGACTTACCATCTGGCAGAGTGCAGTGTTGGTTACAACAATTTCATTGCAGCAATGTTGTGCCTGTGTTATTATTATCTTTTATTTGTGACTTCATATCAATAATGTCATGAAAAAAACATACTGGTCATCCTCTTTTAAAGTATATGACACATTTTTAAGGAATATCGGTGTAGTGCAGGAATATAATTTCTTGAACACCCACTGCAGTTTGCTTTAGGTCCGTCTGACTTCAGCATGTGCAATGTGATGGATGAGGAACTGAGAAAGGGGAGATCTCATGGTGTTAAAATCCTTTATAAGTTCCCCTGGGGCTCAGAGACCCTGGAGACACTGTGGAGCCTGGGGGACACACAACTGATAAAGACTCTCCAAGGATCTTGCATCAATCTACAGGTCAGAGCAAACTTAGATTATGTTCAAGGTGTAATTTAGTTTGTTTGTCAAAATAATTCAACTAACTTTGATCTGAATTATATATAATGCCAAGGGCAACCCGGTCTCATCCCAAGACGTCATATAACTGACGTTTTGGGACGTCTTTTGACCATACGTCAATATTCGCCTTTTTAGGGCCCCCTTAAACGTCGGTAGATGAGGTTATGGGATCCTAACTCTACCCCATACCTAAACCTAACCCTAAACCTAACCCGTCACCTAACTGACGTTAAAGGTAAAGCGTCAGTTGTATGACGGCCCGGGATCGCCATCTACCGACGTTTAAGGGGGCCCTAAAAAGGCGGATATTGACGTATGGTCAAAATACGTCCCAAAACGTCAGTTATATGACTTTTTGGGATGAGACTGTGTTACCAAGGGGAACTTAAAGTAAAAAATAGTATACTTGAAATTATATAAATTTATAATAATAATTAAAAAAAATTCTAGAAATTGTTATTTCACAACCATCTATTAAAGACCGCTATGATCATGTAACTTTCAGTGCAGAGATGGAAGAAAGTCTGTGGTTCCTCATGTCATCTCTGTCAGTGCGAATGTGGATCAAGGAATGCTGGCTTACCTATTTAACTCACTTCAACTGCTGAAAAAAACTGACAGCAAACAGAAGCTTCATCAGAGGACAGTGAGTATGCTAGGTTTTCTTAATTTAAATTTTTTTTTAGCATTATTAAGTGGTTGGAAAATGACGCTTACTTAATATATAATTTTTTATGTAAAAATGGCTGGGAGGTTGACTAGGGTGTCTTTGCTCATTCAGGTTTTAAAGCTGCATCCCAGTTTAACTCCAGTGAAAGTGGCTTTGGATATGGGACGAGGCTCTAATTCAGAGCTAAGACAGGTATAGAGGGATAAACGATCACTTTTTAGAATTACCAAAACTAATGTTTAAAAGTTCAAGATCATGTAATGGTAAACATGTTGAAGATTAGCAGATAGTCTGTCAATTCATAAAGTGATCAATCTTTTCCTCTCAAAAGTGAGCTTACTGAATTAAAAGTGTTGAAGCCTCTCTCTCATCGACGTCCATAAAAAAATAAGACAATCCATTCTCATTCCAGTGGCCTCATCTGCTATGACTCCATTCACATACCAGATAAGCACGGCACAGCGACTAGAACAGTCACACACCGGACGTGTCATTCTGTACCCGCATTCTCAAGTTCAAGGTGGATGTCCGAAAAAGTGAAACTAATCAGCTAAAAGCGTACTTAAAGAATAAAGTGGCATCGAGTTTGAAGGTTTTTGAAAAAAAAGTACAAATTGTGATCTAGACTAGAGAAAGGGTGTCATCTTTGTGAATGGATAGGAGAGCTTTAAATACTGTATGTGAAAAAAGTGTTTTATCCCTCCTTTTTTTTATTTAAAGGGTTAGTTCACCCAAAAATGAAAATTAAGTCATTAATTACTCACCTCCATGCTGTACCAACCCCGTAAGACCTTCGTTCATCTTCGGAACACAAATGGAGATATTTTTGATTAAATTTGAGAGCTGTATCACTACCACATAGGCACCGTAAGGGATTGAAACTTGACAGCCCAGAAAGTCATTGAAGAAAATGTTTAAATATTCCATGTGACTACAGTGGCTCAACTATAAGTTTATCAAGCGACGAGAATACTTTTTGTGTGGAAAAACAAACAAAAATAACAACTTTATTCGACTATTCCTTTTCTTCCTTCTGGGCCTAAAACGAGAGTTCAAGAGATTTCCACGACGCATGCGCAAGAACTGAACAATAAGTAGTGGAAAAAGAACGTAGTGGTTATTATTTTTTTTTTTCCCGCACAAAGTATTCTCGTCGCTTGATAAACTTATAGTTGAGCCACTGTAGTCACATGGAATATTTAAACATTTTCTTCAATGACTTTCTGGGCCGTCAAGTTTCAATCCCTTAGGGTGCCAATGTGGTAGTGATACAGCTCTCAAATTTAATCAAAAATATCTCCATTTGTGTTACGAAGATGAACGAAGGTCTTACGGGGTTGGTACAGCATGAGAGTGAGTAAATAATGACTTAATTTTCATTTTTGGGTGAACTATCCCTTTAAAGAGGGATGTATTTTCTAGAATAATTTTGCAAGCAGTCGACCAAACCCGTTCGGTGTGCTGCTGAACTCTGGTATTCTGTTTGTGCCTCTGCCTCAACTCTTCCTTGAGCAGAGTACATCCAAAGATTCCAACACAATCTTCCTGGTGAATACCCAAAAGGGTTAACTTAATGATAACGGTAACATTTCAAAGACTAGCACAAATTATTCCATGTAAAATTTAATGATCCGTTACTGCATGCCGAGTTTGAGATTGCACTGGTTACTGAGCTTAGGGCTTGCAGAAATTTTGTTAAAAGCCTACTTTGTTTTTTGAGAATTAACAGATGTAAAATGTAAGTATAACAAATAATATGAAATTAACAGTATTTTACAATAAAAAAACCCATTTCTAACCAACATCTCAAATGGTGACATGTTCTGCAAAAAAAATTTGGACTAAGTCTCAAACCCTCTCCATTTTAAATTGACCCTAAAACTGGAACTTTTAGCAATCTTGATCAATTACATTTAGATTTAAATTATAATCTCAAACTTTTAGTCTAAGTTAAAGTCTAAGAAACAAGAGTGTGCAAAATCTGTAATCTTTAAATGGGTGGTTTTGCAATACCAATACATAAGGGTATTTGAGGTAATCACTCAAAAACAAAAAGGTAAATTAAAAATGGTCATGCAACCAACTTTACAAATTTGTGGACCACTTGAGATGTACTGACCTTAAGATAATTGTCTCTTAAGGTTTGTGAGGGTTTACTCCAAGAGTTTCTTGAAGTTGGAATTTCCACATGGCCTGGATACTTGGACACAATGTCATTATCTCTGGAGAATTTACACACAAAGTAACTGACTATCTATTTTCTATACAATACTTAGTAATCTTTTGAGTAAAGTTTTCATGATGAAATGAATTTTGAGAGAAGTTTTCTTTATGCTGCAGGTATGATGAGATGGGTGTCCTCTTCACAGTAGTGGTCAGTGAGAGTACACTAAAAAGTGGCCTTCTGCTGGTCCGTAACAGAGACACCACCATCAGAGAGACTATGCACATCTCAGAAATCAAATGCTACCTGCTCAAATACATATCTGCCTCAGACAGTATATGACTTTTATCATCTGAATCTCAATGGAATACATATTGTAAAGAACATATTGTAAAGTACTGTAATGTGGTGATATGATAACTGTTGGGAGTGATGTAACTGTTACAAAATTGTTTCTCTGTTTCTGTTTCACTAAAATGCTATTAGTGTATACCATTAAAACAACAACAAAAAAAACATAAGATTTCATATTAAACTTTATCATCAGCTGTTCCATCCTGATTGCATTTATTTTTGACCATGCCAACTAATATCTACTGTATATTGATGTTATGTGGTAGGAGTTTAGCGGTTATCTGGCCCAGATAAGCAAAGATTTAGGGTTAGTTCATATTTTGCAAAGATTGGAAAATTCCATTGTTTTTTTTAGGCGTGAAATGCGCTTGAATTTTGAATGACGTCCTTGAAATTGTTCGATATATGTTCTTAGAATGTTCAGTGCGAGTAAAAAAAAAGAAACTTGATGTTATGGATCCCTTGTGCATCATGAGTCACATTGCTTTGATATTGCACAAGTATATGTGATGCATTGCATATGGGCCTACTCGGATGCTAAGGGGAGGGGACCCAAATAACCACCAATTTTATTTTCCTTATACAAAGCCAATTTTTAACTATTAATCAGGTAGTAAAATAAAATGTAAATCTTTAATAATAATCCAACACAGTAAGATGAAGTCACATGAGTATCTTGGATGAAGCTCATTTGAATTTGGTATAGCCTACATGTTTACTCTGTTACGGAGGAAATCGAAACCAAATTACACTACATTTTTTCTGACGATGAAGCATACTGCCATGTACAATTTCACGTAAACGCCAAAATTGGATAGAAACTGCCCAATGTCAGGAGCCAATCAGAGTCCTCCCAAGTCACCACGCAACGATCACTTTCCCCAGAGTTCTAATCACCTGCACCTGTTTCCAATCAGCACGCCCTTCACAGCCAGCATAAAAGCACCAAGTTCACAGTCACTCACTGTCAAGCCTCCAACAGGAAAAAAAAAAAAAAGACCCTAACCAGCCTTCACTTGCTTCCCTCTGAGACATCCACCGAGCTGAGATGTAAAGTATACTTACCTGTAAAGACTAACCGCTCTGTCCTTGTTCTGATGTTCCCAGGATCTGCTCCATGATTCTCGTTCCGTGTCCTGGATTATGCCATGAGTCTCGTCCCTATAATGGATGATCTATAAGGATGAAAAGCAAGTATCACTGAACTGTGTTAGTTCCTGACCTACTATTGAAAAAGGATCTACTCACCTGGAATCCTGTCTGTACTCCGTCTGCTCCACGACGATCTGAAAGTGAGAAAAGGAAAGTCATTGCCTTGTGTCACCGTTCATGTAATTCCTAAGAGGAGGATTCACTCACCTGGATGTATTCCTGTCACGTATCCTCCTTCAAGAGCACTTCTGAGCACCTGAAACCCTGAATACTTACCTTGTTTATTAATAAAGAAAGTTTAAGTTCATTACTTACCTCTGTCTCCGAGCCTGAATCCTGATTCGTACAGTCTTTTTATTTAATAGAGAAAATTCACGGGCGTAAATTTATATCGGCATGTCTGTGCTTCTTATCATGTTTTTTGTGCATTGGGTTTTGTGATTTCATCGTAACGAGTCTCTCAGTCCCCACAACGGATTGAAGCGTGGGTCTGTTTGAAGATTGTGTGCGTCACAACAGAACACTGAATCCAATGAAACTGATCGCAGCAGCAACGAGCACTTTGGTCACTTGATTTCAAAAACAACACATTTCAGATCGCCTCTAATTTAACAAATGAACGAAATGAATGCTCTACTAGAATTACCTCCCAGTTAACAATTTTTGGTTCCCAAAACGTTCCCAGAACGTTACTTTCAGGTTCCCAGAACGTTCCCAGAACAAACATTTCTAACGTTCCCTATTGGTTACCTAGGAAAGTTTTCTTTACGTTAATAGAGTTTGAAAGTTTTCTTTACGTTCCCTTTAGGTTAGGGGAACGTTCCGGGAACTTAGAACGTTCTCAGAACGTTCCCTAAAGGTTCCCGGAACGTTCTCCTAACCTCTACATCCCGATATGCCTGTACACAAATAAGTCTACAAAAAATATCTTCTATGTTGTTTATTTTTTACAAAACATAAGAATCGTATGAAGATTACTACAATAAATGTAATGTATGCACAAAATTTTAATGCCACGAAAAGCCATGCACATGTATTTTAAACAACATATTTATAAAAAAATTCAAAATTGCAGTTTGAAACCATGAAGATAAAGATTCTAAAACTAAAGAGATTAGCCTGTAATAATTTAATAATTGTAAGTAGGACATATGATCATATACTAATTAAATATCATGAGAAACTGACATTGTTTATTGTTCACATTGACCTGAATAGTAATATTATTTTTAAAAATTAAAACAATTGATTGTATGAATATAAAATCATTACAATAAATTGAATGTAAGCAAAAAAATTTATCTATATATAAAAGCCGTGAACATGTATTTTTATAAACAACATGTATTACAAAATTAAATAAAAAATAATCATGAACATGAAAACATAAAAATTCTAAGACTTTAGGAGATTATAATAATACAAGTTTATAAATGTGAATATCTCAAGACAATTATCAATGAGAAACTATATACACTTTTGTTTAGCACACATATTATACATAAATACATAAAAAGCCACAAAAAACGCAGGTATACACGCATGTGTGTGTGAGTGGTGTGCTTTTGTAAATGTGTATTGTCTCAGTCCTTTGTGTCTCCTTCAGCAGGCATCCTGTTTTGGGATAGAAAAAGATCAAAGATTAGGACAGTGTAAACCATAGACTGTAAAAAATATATATGGACGTTGTGTCCATGACGTCACCCCGTAGGTTTCTGAAAAGCATTTTTGAAGCCTGAAGTGGATGGGGCTTAATAATTAATTATTATTCATTTGTAATATTATTATGTCATTAAACGTTTTACGTAAATATGCTATGAAAGCAAAAAATGTTGGCAAACAGCAATGCCGTTTACATCTTGCTTAAACAACTGTATATGACGAGTGATGCGTATCATTTATAAAAAAAAACTATTTATAGTTTGTGAATAGATCACAATGTAGACTGAGGAATAATCCTCAGTCCTCACTCATGTCGGTTTCGCAAATGTAAACAGACACATGGGGATCACACTTGGATGTTGGATCGTCTGAATATTACCTTTCTGCTCGTCTCCTCAGATCTCTTAACTTTTGTGCCATGCAGACCTTGATCTCAGTGCCTCCGATGCCTGGGTGCCTCTTTTTGACATAGTCTGTAAGAAATGCGATTGATTACATTAAAATTTGAAAACAAGTTTGTCACGCGACGTAACTGCCAGATTCAAACTGTGCTTTCCAAGCTATGGCTGTCGCTGACAGATGCGCTCAGCGCTTGTCATATAATAACTATTGATAAAAGATATTCAGACATGCTTACCAATTATTAGCTGCACCTTTTGTAGGTCAAGGCTCTTTTTTCACCAACAACCCCTTTTTTCCCGTTCATGTTGCCATCTCTTTGAAGACAAGATGGAGTCCATAAGAGTTCTGGTTAACTTTTTGTAACCCTTACATCTCTGAGCATGATCCAAACCAACTGGGTTCATTAAGTCAGTCACAAACTTGTTCTGCAAAGCAAAAAATAAGATTTTCGTCAGGACAGAAACTGTGATCTTTTCAACGTTATTGCATATTAGATGAGGTTTTCACGTTGGAGCTGTGAGTGTAAATTTTAGCATACAAGTATTTATTGTTTGTGCTCGAGTCTTGTTACTCTTTTACCTTCATAGTTATTCCAGAGTTTAGGGGTAAAATGCGAGAAATCTCCTTTAGTGGACTTTTATGCTGGGCACTACTCACTGATCTATATAAATGACTTGATTGCTCACGACCAGTGTTGTGCAAGTTACTTCCAAACTGTAATACATTAGGTATTACTTGTTACTGTTATTTAAAAGTAATTCATTACCTTACAATATTACTGTCTCAGAATTGTAATGCGTTACATTACTCATGTATTACTTTTGAGTTACTTTCACCAAAATAACTAAGTAGAACTTAACTTTTGGGCTGTAACGATATGCAATATGAAACCGAAATCGCGATTCACCACACGACTTACAGAATCGCGACACACCTCTTCCAACTCCCAGCGTTATTCTCCTTACCGTCCAGATCCAATGCTGCCTTATCTTTAAATTAGGCTATTAGTATTATTTGAAGTTAACATTTGAAGTTAACCACAAAACTAGTTGAGGATAAATTATTGAAAATTGGGGAAGTCCAGCATTATGGACATGACATTTGCAGTCAAAACTTGAAATAAAAATTCTCAGAAAATACATGTATTGAAACGTATATAGGCTACTTCCTTAAAGGACTCCAGACATTAGACAAATATCAGTCTATGTTTTATTTTTAATATTAGGGAAAAGACACACATTCATGCGTGACAAAAAAATAGGAGGCAAAATATATTTTTTGTAATTCTGTTAATTACACTGCGCAAATCGAATGAGGAAGGGTTGGCTCTCCAGTCTCCATAGAACTTAAAATATTCATTTTATTTTAGTTTTCGTGTTCGCATTTATGAGGAAAAAACAATGTTACAGACGCGACCGCTCTGAACTGGCACTAAAAGACTGCTTTAAAACTTTTACATAGTCTGTTGCCTTTTAAGAAGTAAAAGCAGACAATACACTGTAATACAACTGTAATACAAGCCTCACTGAACATGTAACGAGTAAAAATTTACTGAAAATTGATTAGTAATGCCTTACACTACTGCGTTACAGCAAAAAGTAATATGTTACAGTAATGTATTACTTTTGTAATGCGTTACTCCCAACACTGCTCACGACGTCATGTAAATTGAAGTCACCATATTCAATTGAATTAATAGGAAATCATCTGACTTTAATGAGAAACATGACCTAAAAAGTCAGTGTTTTTTTATATTTGAATACTATACATTCTTACAATGTAAACATCTAACCCTAACCCTAAACATTTCTGATTATTATCAATGTTAAAAACAGTTATACTGATTAATGCGTTTGTGTAAACCATTGTAACAGTTTAAACCATTTTCCCCCTCCAGGATTCATTGTTAAATAGACCACAAACATATGAAGGGTAGTTTTATTTATTGAGCTTCCTCGGCTCACCTGTGTCCTAACGTTACTTCTCCGTCAGCAGCTTTCTTCAGAAATTTTGAAGTAACTTAGTGGAGCTTTCTCCCTGTTATGGGTTATTTCGTTACTACTGAAATCACAGAACATTTAATCAAAATGTGTTTAACGTTACCATTGAGCTAACGTTAGTTTCGGCCAATTGCTCCTAAAAGTCCTGAAACATCACCGATACGTTACGTTTACGTTTGTGTTAAATAAATTAGCTCACTTTCCAGTAAAACCCTTACAAAACCTCTCATTTACACATAAGAGGTGATTAAAAGAAACTTTAATAAATAAAAGTTCAACCGAGTTAACGTGCCGTTACTTTCTGGTTCCCAGAAAGACGTCGGCCTCAGGCCGATCTTAGATCTCAGGGCTTTGAACAAAGGGCTCATAAAGAGACCGTTCAAAATGCTCACAGTCAAGAAACTCCTCGCGCACGTCCGCCAGGGGGACTGCAGGTTCATCTCTCTAGACCTGAAAGACGCCTATTTTCAGATCCAGATAAACCCTTATCACAGGCCATTCCTACGTTTCGCCTTCGAGGGTCAGGTTTACCAATATGCGGTTCTCTCCGTTCGGCCTATCCCTAGCACCCGGTACGTTCACGAAGTGCATGGATACAGCGCTCGCTCCTCTGCGGAGTCAGGGGCTGCGCATTCTAAACTATCTGGACGACTGGCTGATTCTAGCAGATTCCCAGACGGAGCTTCTGTCGCACCGCGCAGTTCTCCTCAACCATCTGAAAGCGCTGGGACTCTCTGTCAACTGGACAAAGAGCTCTCTCCAGCCCAGTCAAACTATTTCATTCCTTGGAATAGATTTGAACTCTATCACAATGACGGCTCGCTTATCCACACAGCGCGCGCGCCGTGTTCAGCGTCTAGCCGCCTCTTTTCGGATGGGTACCCACACATCCCTGAAATCTTTTCAGAGGATGCTGGGTTATATGGCCTCAGCCTCCGCTGTGCTACAGCTGGGTCTTCTGCACATGCGCCCCCTTCAACTCTGGTTAAAGAGCCGCGTATCCCACCGCGAGTGGACTACGGGCCGCCAGATTATCAAGATTACTCAGACATGTACCTCTGCACTGCAGCCATGGTCAGTAATCGAGTGGTTTCAGAGGGGCGTTACCATGGGAACCTTTTCTCGCCGAAAAGTCATCTTGACAGACGCATCCAACTCGGGTTGGGGTGCGGTCTGCGAGGGCTCACCGGCCGCCGGCCAGTGGTCGAGCCAGGAGAGTTCCCTACACATAAACTTTCTGGAAATGATCGCGGTCGAGAACGCGCTGCTGTTTTTCCTCCCGCACATACACGGTCACCACGTCCTGATTCGCTCAGACAATACGGCCGTGGTATCTTACATCAATCGTCAGGGCGGGGTCAGATCCAAGAATCTCTTTCATCTGACGCGCCGCATCCTATTGTGGTCCCAGAGTCACCTGCTCTCGCTCAGAGCGACGCACGTACCGGGCCATCTGAACGACGGTCCAGACATGCTGTCCAGGAACCTTGTCTCCCCCGGAGAATGGTCCCTGCACACTCAAACAGTCCAAACATTGTGGCGCCTATTCGGCAGAGCGGAGATAGATCTTTTCGCGTCAGAAGAGAACGCTCACTGCCCGATATTCTTTTCAAAGAGCGAGGATGCGTTAGCCCAGGATTGGCCCCGCCGCCCGCTCTATGCTTTTCCCCCGATTTCTCTGCTACCGCAGGTCATTCAGAGAATCAGGGACTCACGCCACTCTGTGCTCCTCATAGCCCCGCGCTGGGAGTATCAGATTTGGTTCCCGGAGCATAGGCAGCTGTCACAGACAGTCCCGTGGCCCATTCCAATCAGAGCAGATCTCCTCACTCAAGCCCGCGGCTCGATCTGGCATCCCCATCCACAGCGCTGGGCGCTTCATGCATGGGTGACCAACGACTACGCGTCGAATTGCCAGAAGGGGTTCTGAACACGATCAAACACGCCAGACGCCAGCCGTCGCGGCGTTCGTTGAACTAAAGACGAGCTAATCATCCGCTTCCTCAGGGGAGCCAGAAGGATGAACCCCCCTCGCCCCCCCACAGTGCCAGTCTGGGATCTTTCTATAGTCCTAGAAGCTTTAAAAGCCCCACCGTTTGAACCACTCGAGTCCGTGGAATTAAAATACCTCTCGCTAAAAAACGTTTTTCTGACTGCACTCGCCTCAGTAAAACGTGTGGGGGACATTCACGCGCTTCAAGCGCCGCGTGCCTTGAGTTTGGACCTAATGACTCCATCGTCATTCTGAAACCTAGACACGGTTATGTTCCGAAAGCGATTGGTACCCCCTTCAGGGCGCAAGTGATCTCTCTATCGGCGCTGCCTGCATCCGATAGCGAACGTGACGCTGATCGCCTCTGCCCGGTTCGGGCTCTCAGAGTGTACACTACACGCATTGCTGCGTTCAGACGCTCAGAGCAGCTGTTTGTGTCGTTCGGTGGCCGCACCAAGGGATTAGCCGCCTCGAAACAGACGCTATCCAGGTGGATAGAAGATGCGATTGCCTCTGCTTATGCCTCAAAAGACCTGCCTTGCCCACTGGGCATCAGGGCTCATTCCACCAGAGGCATGGCCTCATCGTGGGCATGGTCCTGCGGAATTTCCATTCACGACATTTGTGTGGCTGCGGGATGGGCCTCCCCCTCCACTTTTGTCAGATTTTATAACTTGAAAGTTCCCACCTTACAGGCTAAAATCCTGGCGGTCTAGTACTATACAGCTCTCCTATAGGAAGCCGCACTTTTGGGAGTTCTATCACAACCGGCTCGCCCCTTGTGTTTCCCCTATGTGCTTATGCATTATACGTTCACGGCCCGCTACGCCAGCCGCCCTTAGGGCGTTTTGCACTAGATGATAATGGCCGCTATGCTGGCCGCCTTATTGTCTTTGTCCACTTAAGATTCCCCCGGTGTTTTTCCCCCTGGGATGTTTAGTGGTTACATAGCGCGCACGGCGTTGACCAGATGTTCCCGTAGCGTAAGCTAGCTTACGCAATACGAGAGAACCTCTCGTAAGAGAACGAATCGGTTACCTAACGTAACCTCGGTTCTCTCTAGATGAGGGAACAAGTATTGCGTTCCCGGCCGTGCTTGCGCCACCAGCATTTCGCTTCATGCTTAAGAATCGACGAACTAGTCTGGGAGAGCTACTTTTATACACTGTAGCCACGCCCCTTTCGGCGGGCTCTGACGCAATGAGCGAGCGCCGTCCGCTCATTGGCCGCGGGCTCAGCGCCGCTCTCCCATAGGTTCGTGCATTCTCCCTGAGCGAACCAATGAGCTGCTAGTTAGCCCGCTCATGGTCTGCCTCAGAGAGACTGCGTTGACAATGATTACAAAATTATGGAATAATTTTTTGGCTTCAACTTCTCAGCAAAGATGAATCTTTCCCGTAGCGTAAGCTAGCTTACGCAATACTCGTTCCCTCATCTAGAGAGAACCGAGGTTACGTTAGGTAACCGATTTGTTTTGCTGAGTTATCCACTAATCTAGTTTACAATAGCATTTTTGTCAGAGGTTATGGTCATATATATATATATTTTTTTTGTTGTTGTTGTTTTTCTTTATAATGAAGTTGTCTGTATAGTGAAGTAGATTGTTTAACACACAAAATAGTGATTATCAGATCAATGAGGCCTCACCCTGCTCGCCACAACCCTGATTAAGGGTTTTATTTAGTTATAATAAAACAAAAAAATTAAATATAATTTTTATCCGATTAAGAGATTAGCAAAATAATCGTTAGTTGCAGCCCTAGTGCAATTGTTTTTTTATTTGAAAACAACGTTGGCATACTGTGTTCAATTTCACACTAACATTCTCACTTAGAGCAAATAATCTCTCACACAATGTAACACTGTCCATCAATAAAAAGGTGAAAGTAATACTGACGAGGTCCTGATATTGACGAGGGGGTGGAGAAATCACATCAGCTGGCATCATGCCTCAGACTAAAAGGCTTCAGTTATTGCACAAAACGGCATCGCGCCTCAGACTGAAAAGCTTCAGGTCTCAGGAAAAACAATGTCAGGTGTCAGGCCTCATACAATAGGCATCAGACAAAACAGCCTCAGACAAAAAGGCATTAGACATAAAGGCATCGGGCTAAACGGACTCAGACATAAAGGCATCAAGCGAAACGGACTCAGACATATAGGCATCAGACACGAAGGCATCGGGTGAAACGGACTCAGACATAAAGGCATCATGCGAAACGGACTCAGACATAAAGGCATCAGGCGAAACGGACTCAGACATAAAGGAATCAGACAAAACGGAGTCAGACATAGAGGCATCAGGCGAAACCGACTCAGACAAAGGCATCAGGCGAAACGGACTCAGATGGAGTTTGGAGGTTCCCATTGCTCCACCCCTTGCGACGTCACATGGTTCATAGCTCGAAAGAACGCCTTACTTCACAATAGTTTTGCACAAATATGTAATCTAACATTTTAAACGAGCAAATAAAACTTGCGACATGCATGTTCTCTTCTGAATACAAACAAAATTAGTGTAACATTTAATTAAAGCATATATATCACTAAGATTTTTTTAATGTTGTGAATATACAGTAAAGTGCAATTTATTCCTGTGATTAAAGCTGAATTTTCAGCATCATTACTCCAGTGTCACATGACGATCCTTCATTAAATCACTTTAATATGATGATTTAATGCTCAAGAAACATTCAATATTATTATCAATGTTGAAAATGCAATGCACAAAGAACAGCATTTATTTAAAATAAAATACTTTCTAACTGTAAATTTTGATCAGTTTAACTCATCCTTGATGAATAAATGTATTGATGTATTTTATTTATTTCCCCCAAAAATAAAATAAAAATTCTTACTGACCCCAAACTTTTGAACGGTAGTGTTTAATGTTACAAAAGCTTTAGATTTCAGATAAATGCTGTTCTTTTGAAAGATTATTTTGTTCTTTTGCTGTTCTCTCTTCAAAGAATTTTGAAAAAAAAAATATTGCACA